TGCACTAAGTCGGTCCTAAAATAAGTTCGACGTACAAAACGTTAGGCACTTGATATAATAGGTATAACGGAGAGTAATCTAGTTGTGGGCGCTGATACTTTAGTATCCGACTAACTGTCGTCCCACCTCGACTAACCGAACAACGATATTTAATCACCCCCCCACGAGGGCATCATGTGGCACAAGGCCGGTTTAACGTGGGATATCCGAGCCCGTGGGCTCGGCCAAAGATATGCCCATTGAACCCGTATAAACGGGTTCAGTTCAGGGTCGGTTTACCCCCCCGAAAGAGAATCCGCTCTTCGGCGTAGCTTCTTTCGGGTTCCTCTCCTCCCGATCAGTTCAACCGATCAGCCAGTCGACTGACTGACCAACGATATTCAGTCACCCCCCCCCACTGGGGCGTCATGTGGCACAAGGCATTTTTAACGTGGGATCTCCGAGCCCTTCGGCTCGTCCAAAAATATGCCCATTGAACACGTATAAACGGGTTCAGGGTCGGTTTACCTTCCCGAAAGAGAATCCGCCCTTCGGCGTAGCGTCTTTCGGGTTCATCCCCGCCCGAAGGCAGAGAGTTCAACCGATCAGCCAGTCGATTGACTGACCAACTCTCTGAACGTCTCTTACTACTCCTACTTATTATAGATGGGAAAGTCTATTAGCTATAGAATAGGTGTTCCACTATAGGAAATGAACAAAAGGCCTCTGAAATGTTAAATAACTAATTAATTTTCATTGTTAGAACCTCTGTGGTATGATAAGATGACCACACTCTACACACTTTCCTTCCAAGCACTGCTATAAACAATGGAAGTGAACAAGAACATGAAATGACGCACTTATAGGAAATGAATAAAACACTTCTGAAATGTTAAAGAACTAATTTATTTAATTGAAATAATCACCGTGTTGATGAATGACTGTTCTTCAACGTTCCTCTAAATTCTTGATCGCATGTTTAAAAAAAAATCTCATCTTTTGATGTGGTAAACAGTTCAGATGCATTGATTACCTCTTCCTTATCAGAGAATGTTTTATTCTCTATCAAAAGGCTTAAATAAGTGATAATCAGTAGGCGATACATCAGGTGAATAGGGAGGATGAGGCAAAATTTCATAATTCAAGCTATGCAGCTTCTGGGTAATTGATTGAGAAGCGTGCGACCGTGCATTGTCATGCAGCAAAATTGGGCCACCCCTATTTACAAGTCTAGGGTGTTTCTTTTTCAATTTTATGTGCACACGCTCAGTTTCCCCACAGTATGAGATTGCTGTTATTGTTTTCCCTTGAGGTAAGAATGAATAATGAATAACTCCTTTGAAAGACCACCATACAGTAACCATTAACTTTTTAGCGTGCAGTGGAGGTTTTGGGTATTGTTTTGGTGATTTACTTACATTTAACCACTGGCCTATTCTATTACCGAGTATCCTTTTCTCATTGCATGTAACGATTCGATGCAAAAATGGTTCTTTTGCCAGTCGAGAAAGCATACAGTAAGATTACTCGACATTGTTTCATTTTAATCATTTTCGCTTATGAGTATCAATATGCAGTGTAACCCGGATATAAGAGAGTTGTCGGGACCGGAGAAGAAGTCTCTTATATCCGGGTTTCTCTTATATCCGGGTTTGGTCTATTTTATAAACATTAACACAGGCTCTAATTTGGGACCAGAGAAAATCTCTCTTATATCCGGGTTTCTCTTATATCCGGGTCTCTTATATCCGGGTTACACTATATTGAAAGAAAAATTATCTGGAAAGAAAAATAGTCAGGATTTTTTTATACACTAAAGTGGTTATTTCGTTAGACGACTGGATCAACAACCAACCACAAAATGCGCCATTTCATGTGTGACAACCTAATACGTACATGTATATTTATATATATGGTGTTAGCAGCCTGCATATGCAGCTGTCAACACTTCAAAAACTTATTTTAAATTTATATCTTTCGAACATTATGATGTCACAAAAAGAGAATATATCAAAGATTTCTTGAATTTCAAAACCATAACCTTCGGGAAGATGATTAATGGTAGTTAAAAGAACATCGACAAACTGATAATTTTACACACAATTGGACCACACATTGCCTCGTATATATATATATATATATATATATATATATATATATATACAGAGACATTTCTCTGATAATCAGGCCGTTAAATGTTGTTAATACTGTTTATTATAAATAAAGCATTTACTTAAATATTTGTATCTATAAAAAATAACGTATAAACAATAAATATATTAAAATAATTGTCGGGCTTAATCCATTTTATAATATATGACGTCATTTGTTTACGATAAGATACGCTTCAAGCAGATATGAGCGTTCGAGAGAAATCATGGGAAATTTGTAATTTAAAAGTAGTAATCCAACCTTGTTAACGAAACGCTTCCGCTGTAGCTAAATGTATAGCACGTAAGGCTATGACGGTTCCGTGTAGGATACAGGTTCGATTCCTGACGGAGGACGCATATTTTCTATGAAATTTCTCGGTCATTCAGGCCGGTAAATGTTGTTAATACTGTTTATTATAAACAGAGAATTTGCTTAAATATTTGTAGCTATAAAAATAGCCTATAAACAATAAATATATTAAAATAATTGCCGAGGTTAGTCTATATGACGTCATATACAGTGTGCGGCAAAAGTGACGCCATTTTTTATGAAGTTAAGGTTCCTTGAGGGTTACCCGGATCGGCAAGTACGCGATGAAGTCCGGAGAAAATAACATCGAAAACAGAGTGATAATAACCACAAAGATGAGGACAATAGTTCGAGTGCAAATAATGTAAACAACGATAACTCCTGAAACATTCAGAATTTAATTATATTGATGAATTAAAATGTTTTAGCATGTTTCTCTCATTATTTAAAAAAAAAAAATGGATTATCTATAATTTTAGAGTCGATGCCTATTATTCTCTTGAACTTTTAATGTCACAATCCTATTACAATTGTACTTGTTTTTTTCCTTCGTTATTTCTCCCGACCGTTACACCGTGCCAATAACGCATAAATAAAACACTATTCCGTTTTGACCGCGTGGAAAAAAGGTGAAAAGACACTACCCTGTTTCTGTGAGAAAATGAAAGAAAAAAAGAGAGGAAGATAGAAGCAGAGAGAGAGAGAGAGAGAGAGAGTGAATCAGATTGAGCAGATGAGAACAGATACTACACTTTGATCTAAGCCAAAAGGCCGTTTATTTAGTTGACCAACCACTGAGTCAGGTTGTGACACAAGGTCGGTTTTTAACATGGGGACCCGAGTGTTTTCACTCGTCCAAGCTGGTCTTAGCTAGTCGTAGCTGTTCTTAGCTTGTCCAAGCTGGTCAGAGCTGGTCTAAGCTTTCCCTGACGATCCGTTTAGGTGAAACCTAGGTAGGTTTGTCTGGCTCACTAGGTGTATCTAGGTTTGCTCTACGATTGTATTGAGCTCTTTTGTTAGTTAGTTGTTACTCGTATCGGGTTTTTTTCTTTGGGCTTCAGACCTGCATCTGTGCGATTTTTTGTCGGCAGAAGTTTATGTTTGTAGCTCTTTCTTTTTTTAAAACCTTTTTTTTTTTTCCCTCGAAATTGATTTGATTAACAAATCAAAAATTCGAGGGTTTTTCGAAACGAGTCTAGTTATTTATATTTTATGTATATATATATATATATATATATATATATATATATATTCGACGCTCCTGTCGTATTCGATGTATCAATCAAGCAGCTAGGAACCGGAAGCCAGACACCATCGCATGTAATTTGAGTAGAGTGATGAAGGTTTTGTGCAGAAACTATCCACTCTTTTTGAAGGGCTGAATACAGAGACAAACTATATATAACTATGTAAATTCGATCTTGCTAACCGAACGCTCCTCTGTAGCCAAATCGGTTAAAGGAACGTCAGGCTAAATGACGGTTCCGTATAGGATACAGATTTGAATCCTTTCGGAGGACGAATATTTTCTGTGAATATTCCTCGGACATTCAGGCCGCTAAATGTTGTTTAATACTGTTTATTATAAACAGAGCATTTACTTAAATATTTGTATCTATAAAAAAGAATGTATAAATATAAAAACGTCTTAAAACAATTGTCGGACTTTGTTCATTTCATAATATATATATATATATATATATATATATATATATATATATATATATATATATACACCTAGTGAGCCAGACAAACCTACCTAGGTTTCACCTAAACAGATCGTCAGGGAAAGTAAGGTGTTGTTTACTCGTATCGGGGTTTTTTCTTTGGGCTTCAGACCTGTATTCAAAGGGATTTTTTTGTCGGCAGAAGTTCATGTTTGTAGCTCTTTTTTTTAAAACCTTTTTTCCCTCGAGATTGATTTGATTATTAGCAAATAAAAATTCGAGGGTTTTCGAAACGAGTCTAGTTATCTATAATTATATATATATATATATATATATATATATATATATATATATATATTGATAGGAAGCGCTACGACCCTACACTGAACAAATAATTTCTACTTTAATATTAATTTATTTCATATTAAGCATTAACTCACCTGGCTGCACTGTCAGTGTTGAATGTTGCCAGTGGCAAAATTTTGATGACTTCGATGTTATGTTGTGGAAGGTGTAGTTTTTGACCTTACCAGAACCTTCCTTAGTATCTTCCATTCACTTATCATCTCGCAGCACTGCTGCAATAACTTATTAAAATATATCTTATTCTACTTCCATTAAGCTTTCGTAATTCTTATCATTCTCTATTTCATTGCTTGATTGGTTTGTTTTTACGGCTTTTACATTTTATTTTAGATTGTAAGATTTTTTTAAAGGTAATAATGGTTTCCTGATACAGGTCCTACTAATTAACCCATAGCTGGGGGAGAGAATATTCATACCTTACCCAAGGGTATTTGTGCGTAATTTAATATAACGAACCCGACTGCTATTGGAACTCGGTTCTTCGATTTCTAATTCGTTATCCATTACACCATCCTTACATCCAAGCTTACAGCACCTGGTATTCCCAAGCGGTCACCCATCGAGGTACTGACCAGGCTCGACATTGCTTAACTTCGTTGGCCGTACGAGATAAGTTGTTTCAACATGATATGGATATAAGCCATATTTTAATGTGTTAAGTGATACACTTATTGTGATGTTATTATATATTATTTTAGTGTTTTTTTTTCTCGTTTAAAATGTAAAGGACAATTTAAATGTGTTTTTCTATAGTCTGAATATATATATATATATATATATATATATATTATTATTATTATTATTATTATTATTATTATTATTAATCAATTCACCCCAAGCAAGGCGATAATTCTACTAAGATCCAAGGGGCTACTGGAAGTGAAAGAGAATGAGAAAACATTTTAAAAGGACGTAAACCCAAAGCTATGCAGTAAACAAGGGATAAACCTCTACTCCTGTTCCAAAGACTGGCGTAGACTGTGAACCGGACAATAGGCGCATCTATCTATTCCTATTTGGGAAAAAATAACAAATAAATAGTAAATAAAATTCCAGAGTTAAGGCGAAGTCGTTAAAAGTTTAGAGTTGAAGTAAAATACTGAAGGGACCGAAAACCCAATTTTAAGCAGGAAGCAAAGCATCAACATCTATCGTCGTTCAAAACGACGGGGAGGAATGTGAACCAGACGATAGGCGAACCTATTTACTTCATTTATGTTATTTGTCTTGCCATATTTTTAAAAGAATATGTTCAGCTGGTACGATTATATTTTCAAAATTCAAATCTCTTTCAAATAAAGTATAACAATTCAAAAAAGGTATTCTATTTGAAGGTCTATTATTTTCTTTTGTGACACTACTGATAGCAGTTCTACTACCAACAACACAAAGTTCATAATCCTACCCTCCAGCAATCTATCTACAAAATTTGAAAATAAATTAGTTATCCCAAATACCAGTGTCTTTACCAAAACCTCCAAGACAATAAGAGATATAATTTGCAAGAAAAATAACCCAACACCACTTCAAATGTCGGGATTTATCAAATAAATAATTTTCAATGTAAAAACATTTACATTGGCGAGACATTTCGAAATCTAAAAGCCTGTATCAACGAGCATAAAAAGGGATCTACGCTGGGGCAACCCATTAAATTCGCTTTTAATATGCAGGAACAAAACAGGCCATGACTTTGATTTTAAAAATGCCACCCTAATAAAATAAAAAAAAAAAAAAAAAGAACACAATTCTTCAAGTCGAAAATACATCGAAGGAGTCCTGATAAATATTTTAACATTTATTAACACACGTCAAAAATATTATATTACATCACCAACCTTTATTATATCCATTTTTAAAGAATCTAACGTATGTTTACCTACCCAAGCTGTTGTTTACGGAAAAAAACATTCCCAAATCAACATTCGGACAATCATCAAACATAAATAATGCCTACTAGACGCACACACATACATACACGTATACATATTTTTGAGGTGTCGTCCCCTTTTTACACAAATGGACTCACCCAGTATATACATATACTACTGTTACGTGAAGACCCGAGAGTAACACCGAAAGAGCAAGACCGGAAGAGAGGGAGAGTGAAAGATTGTAGGCAACCGGAAGAGTGAGAGTAAGGTAACAGACAGACAGAACGAACCTAGTCACAGTGAGAGAGCACTTAGACTCAGTAAGAAGTCATACAGCGATACTTCAATACCAAAGACTATATAGATATTTTGCTACTAACCCGCATTCCTGGAACTACTAACCTGCATTACCAGTTTGTATTATTACATTAATACATTATTTTCCTATATTCATTCTTGGCGTTTGTTATTTATTGGTACCGGATTTTATCCCGGAATCCACAACACATATGAATATACATTATTGCCAGGGTCGGACATAGACAAAATAGAATTAGGATACACTTACCTATATAACGCAATAATTACATATTTTCAGTTAGGCTCGTAATCCGTTAATGTTTTGGAGCTTCGAATGGACGCTCCATCTCTCCTTGAGTTTAGAACGCCATAAATTATACTAACGCTGCTTAACAAATCAAATGCATACGAAACCTGCTTAACCATGAAAATCAAACGACACAAAAATAAAAATACCAGAATTTCTTTTTTCTCCGTAATTCATTCTCTGATTAAGTTTTAATAAATGTGAAAGATGTTAGATTGATAAACGTTTCCAATTTGTTCTTGATCCTGTTATTAATAGTCTTGTATTTTTGAGCTGTTTAGTGTACTTACCACTTGGTGGTGTATGTTTTGATAGGGGTACAATCTTAGTCCGTTGCCCCAATCAACACGAAACGTTCTTGCTGGATTGGAGATAGGTTGCATTTTGGTTGGGGTGACTTTTGTGACATTATGGCAAATACACTGTAACGTCGAAATCAACTATTTTCTTGGCTCAAAGAGCACCCATCGCCAACGTTGTCACGGCGTTGTGATACTTTTTTTTTTCATTTAACAATATAAATAGAAGGGATTAAATTTCTTTTCATGATTTTGTTTTAATTGAAAATCACTAATTTTTATCCATTTTTTGTTACAAGGTAACTAACAATGGCTATACTACGGGGGTTGCAGAAGGGGTCAATGTCACTCCACCCATCCGAATTTTGGCTGGCCACTCGGTTGGCACCCCCACACACTTTTCTAAGTTTTGTAGAGGAAAAAAATCAGAGCAGACAAATTACACTGTTCTGCTAGTATAGACGTTAGTATTAACCCTTTGATTTTGTTTTGAAGTTAACCCCTCTCTTGTGGTTCAACAGCTTGAGAGTGGAAAAGAAAGCAAGAATAGATTAGAACTCCACTACCTATGAATGAAAAGTTATTCCGTTTAATTTAGAGAAGTAATATACTTATACTAAAATTCATTCCTAAGTAGTGTATATGATAGTGGTGTGTGTAGTATGAAAATAAAGACGTTCATTGAATTTACCCCCCTCCTCCGCAGAAAAATCTCGCTCCCCCAAGTGCCCCCCATCACTTTCAAAGTTCCAGGTTTGCCACTGGTAACTAATTTGCAACGTTACAAGGTAACGCATTTGTAACGTTATAGGGTAACGTTTTTGCAACGTTACACGGTAACGTTGCGGGAGTTGCAGCCTCTATGTAACGTTGCAGAAAGGTTTTAATAAGCCATGGGCACCATAGATAATTCTCTGCACGTGTGCACAATAGATGACATCGAATGCTAATTGATTGACTGATTTGTTTTTTACGGGTTATCAACCACTTACGGGTTATTTAAAGCCGAAATATGTTTTTGATTCTTTTTTTTTTCTTTTTTTTTTGCGATTGAATCCTGCGTTCAGTCAGTTATGTGCCATGCGTTATACACGCTTAGGCGATCATGTATCTTTCGATACATGACTGACGAGGCAGATTTTTTCCCGCAGTAGGTTGTCATTTCTTTCTGCGGTAGATTCAAGGCTATAGAACCCGATCTGTCCTAATTATTTACCCATAGCCAGGGGGGAGAAGAAGAGTTATTAGCACGGAAGTGAATGTAATGGGTTCGATTGGAATTCGAACTCGACTCGTCAATTCCTCGATCCGAGTCGCTATCCATTACTCCACCGTCCCTCTTGCGTTAACGATTTTTTTAAAGAATTTCTAATGACTTTTCCAGATGCAATGTTAATATTTAATCCATAGCTGGAGATAACTGTAAAGATATTTGCGTGAAAGTAAATGTAGATACTAACAGGAATCGCTCTCCATTACACTCACCGCAAATCCACCATCACATACCAAACTTTTATCGGTGATTTAGGCTTTTCTGCAGACGGATTAGACAACAATTGGCCAGAGGACGTCATTGATTTATTTCTATCAAATAAAACTGCAATTCCACCACTTCTATGGAAAGATTTCTGTTTTGGCATTAACAGCAAACAACCGTTTTTTGTTGTTTTTTTTTTGTTTTTTTATTTTTTTGTTTTTTTTTTTTTATTTTTTTAGGGGGTGCCTAATGTCCAACACAGCTTTTCAATTCTTGTCGCCGGTTACTCAAGCATAATATAGGCATCATTACCCAAAACAATCACACGTAGGGTGAAATCACCTTAGCCAATAAATCATGTTGATGTATCGCTGAAGGACAAATACTTTCACTGCTAGGATGATATCGTTCACTGCCAAAGGAACGATTTGTAAGCCATGATGTCAAAAATGTGGCCAATAGTCTCTACTGTTTGTGTGATAGTTAGAAAAGCTGGTATTTTTGCAAATTATGGCTCTGCTAGTTTTTTCTCTAGTTAGAGATCCGGGTCTGAATTTCGCTAAAGACTTCTTGAAAATATCGGACTGTAGTAAACATACCAGCGTGCAGCACCGCTGCAAGATGTCTGACGAAATGGTTCGATGGAATTGCTGACACAGGTCATCGTGAGTGAGGAGGGAATTTAAGTGTCTTGGTCTTTTTTTTTTTTTTTCAACTTATACTGGGAACAAACCGCTTGCATACGGATAGAAAATGATTTCGGTAAATATACAAAAGTAGAAAGGATTGTAAGACAAGGATGTGTCTTCTCACCGGACTTATTCAACATTTACAGTGAGATGATTCTTAAGGAATTATAATTCTTACCAGGGTGCAATACTGGCGACCAAAATCTTAACAACATTAGATATGCAGATGACACAGTTTTAATAGCAGAATCAGAAATGAAAATACAGGAGCTCTTCCAGAAGGTAATAGAGAAAAGCGAATAGAAAGGACAGAGAATTACTGGTGAGAAGACATAATGTATGTCAGTCAGTAAAAGAAGAGCCCAACATACCAATTACAAATCTGAGATGCCAAAACGAAGCAAGTACAGCAATTTAAATACATAGGAGGTGTCTTAACAAAAGACGGAAAGCGTGACACTGAAATCCGAAGGTGTATTGAGATAACGAAAAATTTCACCTTCCTATAGATAAGTAAGAAACAGGAAAAATTCGTAAGAAAAGAAAAGAAAAGGGTACTTAATTGTTATGTAATATCGGTGCTCCGATATGGGAGTGAAAGCTGGACAATCTCCTCATAGATGAAGAAGAGACTTGGAACAACAGAAATGTGGTTCTAAAAAGAAAAGTATCCTGAACTGTTATATAAAAGTCCCCCTATAAATGCTATCCAGATTAAGAACTTGTTGTGCTTCTACAAAGGAAAAGAGTCCTGAACTGTTATGTAATATCAGTCCTCCTATATGACAGTGAATGCTGGAAAATCTCCTCACAGATTAAGAGACTTGAAGATGAAGAAAAAGTCCTGAACGGTTGTAATATCAGTCCTCCTATATGACAGTGAATGCTGGACAATTTCACAGATGAAGAAAACTTGAAAAAGAAATGTGTTCCTACAAAGAAAAGAGTCCTGAACTGTTATGTAATATCAGTCCTCCTATATGACAGTGAATGCTGGACAATCTCACAGATGAAGAAGAGACTTGAAGCAATAGAAATGTGTTTCTACAAAGAAAAGAGTCCTGAACTGTTATGTAATATCACTCCTCCTATATGACAGTGAATGCTGGACAATCTCCTCAAGATGAAAAGAGACTTGAAGCAACAGAAATGAAAAAAGAGTCCTGAACTGTTATGTAATATCAGTCCTCCTATATGACAGTGAATGCTGGACAATCTCCTCACAGATGAAGAAGAGACTTGAAGCAATAGAAATGTGTTTCTACAAAGAAAAGAGTCCTGAACTGTTATGTAATATCAGTCCTCCTATGAGAGTGAATGCTGGACAATCTCCTCACAGATGAAGAAGAGGCTTGAAGCAATAGAAATGTGTTTCTACAAAGAAAAGAGTCCTGAACTGTTATGTAATATCAGTCCTCCTATGAGAGTGAATGCTGGACAATCTCCTAACAGATGAAGAAGAGACTTGAAGCAACAGAAATGTGCTTCTACAAAGAAAAGAGTCCTGAACTGTCCTGAAGTCCTGTTGACTGTGAATGCCAAACAATCAGATCTTCCTATTATAATATCAGTCTTCCTATATGGTAGTGAATGCTGGACAATCTCCTTACAGACGAAGAAGAGACTTGAAGCAACAGAAATGTGGTTCCGCAGAATGTTGTTAAGTATATAATGGATTGAAGATGTGAACAATGATAAAATTTCTGAGAAAATGGAAACTGAGAGGATATTTATGCAGAAAATAGATTTAAATTTTTAAACTATGCAATGAAGAAAGTGGGCTTAGAAAATTTGACATTGACAGGAAATATTGAAAAGGAGACGACCAGAGGGGAGCAGCGCATAACCTACTTGCCTCATGTGCAAATGTTTGGCAGAACTGGGATTAGGAGAGATAGAAAAACACAACATTAACTAAGAGCTACAAAGGATAGGAAAGTGTGGAGAACTATGATTGCTTACGTTCTTAAATGAGCAAGAATCCTGCCAAATTGTGCGCTATCTCTCAGCAAATTGTAACAAAGGTTTGTTTGTTATAGTTGCATTGTAAACAACATTTGGTTCTGTGTATCCTGAAAATATACTATCATGACTGAGTAGATGTCTTCAACAGGGATTTCACCCTAACGCTTCTTCGACTGAATTTTCTCCAGTCAGGATAAACGGTTGCCCTCTCGATGATGTTTCATGCTTTGAATGTCTAATAGGTTTTAAGTTCGCTCCCGAACGCGTAGAATATATATATATATATATATAGATATAGATATAGATATAGATATATTTTGAACAATAAGAAAATAAAAAATTAAAAAATTAAAATCTTTAGACACACTGGGTTGTAGATTAATATTCTTTCGTTTTTTTTATTATTATTTCATTTAGATTCCTCGACTAGTTTCGACCAAAATGGCCATCATATTTCTGCTTGCTGGTAGTAGTGAACTACAGAAATGAATGTCTTGATGGAGAAAATGAGCTTTTGTCTGTAGTTTTCATTTGTTTTTTTATTTTTTTATTTTTTTAACATGAATCTTTTAACATTCCTTGTGTTGGTCAAACAGTCTCTTTTATAGTCTATATATAGATAGATAGATAGATAGATAGATAGATAGATAGATAGATAGATAGATAGATAGATAGATAGATAGATTATATTAGTGGTAAATATACACATACATATGCAATTATATATCTAAAATATATAAATATATATACATGCATACATACACATACATATATATTTGTATAAAAAATAAATCCAAGAGGATAGAACCCAGGTAGAACTCAATGTCCGGGACAGAGTCAGGATATAATAAAAAGGCTTAAACACTAATATTCCATGGTCAGTTTTATTATATATATATATATATATATATATATATATATATATATATATATATATATATATATACATATGGTCATTTTTACATATATATATATATATATATATATATATATATATATATATATATATATGGCAGTGAATGCTGGACAATCGCCCCACAGATTAAGAGATTGAAGCAACAGAAATGTGCTTCTAAAAAGAAAAGAGTCCTGAAATGTTATGTAATATCAGTCCAGAAATGTGCTTCTAAAAAACGGAAACGTCCGACGTTGACATTATATTAACATTAAAACAGCATAATTGCATATTAGGATTTTTGCTTGTTTTTTCCGTATATTTTTCTTCATACTGTCGGATCTATATCCATATATTTGCTTATATATATATATATATATATATATATATGTATGTATGTATGTATATATTGACAGAGTTTTATCCGACATATAGAGTGGTGTAAGCCGTCTTGATAATTTTGTTGAAGTGAAGCATTTATGTTTTTGTCACGGATACAATCTCCCAAAGGAGATTTAAACTTATATACCACGTTGATCTTTCCTCAAACACTAGAAGAGTTATTCCATATGATTTACTTGGTTGTGTCAAATTTAGTATAGTATATAATTAGTTTTATTTTTTTTTACTGGGATCAGTGGAGAATATAGTATTTATGAGTTTTTATTAGGATTCTTTCATCTTGTTTGTAGTTAGAATGTATTTGATTACGGTATAAGTTGATATGTTTAGGGTTAATTTAGGAAGTATTAGGTTCTTTTTTTATTTATATTAATATTTCTAATGGCTCGTCTAATTTGTTCATCAAAAATGTAATTAGGAAAATCATTGTTAATGAAATCTGTTTTTTTTTTCAGTGTAGAAAGGTTTTTCCTGCAAGTGTTAACATTGGCACGGTTTATTAAATTTTGTATAATAGCTACTTTGTAATAGGACATTCACTTCTATAGCTGAGACTTCACGTGTTTATGCTAGTTAAATTTTTATATCAGGTGATAGTAAATTTACCATTATTGGTGACTATCAATACATCAAGAAAAGGAATTTTATTGTTATTGTTAAGTTCATATGTGAATTTAAGAACGGAGTTTTTTTGTTTTTTTTTTTTATTTTGCATTTTATGTATCTCATCTTTATGAGAATATATCTTAGGTAGATTTTGTTGAAGTGAAGCATTTATGTTTTTGTCACGGATACAATCTCCCAAAGGAGATTTAAACTTATATACCACGTTGATCTTTCCTCAAACACTAGAAGAGTTATTCCATATGATTTACTTGGTTGTGTCTAGTATATAATTAGTTTTATTTTTTTTACTGGGATCAGTGGAGAATATAGTACTTATGAGTTTTTATTAGGATTCTTTCATCTTGTTTGTAGTTAGAATGTATTTGATTACGGTATAAGTTGATATGTTTAGGGTTTAGACTTCACGTGTTTATGCTAGTTAAATTTTTATATCAGGTGATAGTAAATTTACCATTATTGGTGACTATCAATACATCAAGAAAAGGAATTTTATTGTTATTGTTAAGTTCATATGCGAATTTAAGAACGGAGTTTTTTGGGTTTTTTTTATTTTGCATTTTATGTATCTCATCTTTATGAGAATATATTTTAGGTAGATGAAGGTTTTTTAGTTTCATTAGAAATGTTTATTTTCAAGTTTAGACATATAGAGGTTACGAAATATTGGCCCCACGTAGTTATTATCTTGAGGGTCATAGACGGGAACCTCGATGGTACAAGTTAAAAACAGTTTTCATATGTTTAATTTATAGTGGAAGGAGAAATGGTTCGTTGAAAACACTCGTTATAATTCTATCAATCTCTGCTCTAACAGGGACGTTGGTAAATAAAATTTCAGCATCAAGTAAGGCAATGGTTTCATTATTAGGATTTTGTGTTTTTAATATTGATTTAATACTGTATTTACTAGGTGTTATAACCTAGAAATGGTTACTCTATGAGGAATAACCAAGACAGAGGAAATGAAATGGTAATCTTTATAACATCAACAAAATACAATACTCGCCAGCGGCCTGAAGTAGGTAAACCACGGCTAGTGGTGGACTACTTAGGCATCATAGTACCCCAACTTACAATAGTGTCCAATGTATTTATGAGGAGTGGGACATACGCATTAGTGTTTATACGGTATATAACCATTATATATATGTAAAGGAAAATTATATATATATATATATATATATATATATATGTGTGTGTGTGTGTGTGTGTGTGTGTGTGTGTGTGTGTGTGTGTGTGTGTGTATTAAATAAAAACAGACCACTTTAAGGTTCCATGTAATAAATTATTTCACCACAGCCCTTTTGAAAGGACTGCGGATCATCAGACTTTACTTCCAAACAAAAAATGAAAAGAAAATTTACACATTTTTGACGGGCCTTATTAAACATATGTAAATTAACGAAGTGAGGACGTGAGGGGGGAGAGAGAGAAGACATGAGTGAGTTAGCAGATATTGACACATTTAAATTATTTGCTCTGGATTTACATTGAGCTCTCTGGATTTTATCCTCCTTAAGTTTACCCATACGGATTACCTAGTTTTTCAAACTATATATATATATATATATATATATATATATATATATATATATATATATATTGTTGTAACCTAGAAAGGCTTACTGAATGAGGAATAAACAAAACGGAGGTTGGAAATGAAATGGTAATCTTTATAACATCAACAAAATACAATATTCGCCAGCAGCGTGAAGTAGGTAGACCACTCCTTGTAGTGGACTACTAGACAATATATTACCCCCACTTACAATAGTGTCCAACGTATTTATGAGGATTGGAACACACTCATTAGGGTTCAAATGCCTGCGTGGTCAGTAGTCGCATTCTTAAGCCACAAGGTGTGATGGGCGTTAAAGTCTCCAAACACAAAAATGTGAGCAAAGGGGTGGAGGGAGAGAGCCGTGTCTATGTTGTCAGAAATGCTATTGAGTATCTCACAGTCTTGAGAGGATGGAGAGCTGTAAAGGAAGAAGAGTTAGCTTACCGCATTGAGGAGAGAGAGTCGGAGCCACATGTATGACTGGTCTGGCGATTCGTGAGAGGACTCTCTGGACAGAGGGAGATGTTCTTCTATAAGGAATTTCCTTAAGCTTTAGATAAAAACTGTGAAGCTCGTGCTATTGCTTTGGATATCTGGAAGATATTTGACAGGATTTGACATACTGGACTTCTTCAGATATTGAAAGGTTATAATATTTCTGAGCGAATTTTTGAACTGATTCAGTCTTTCTTACCAAATCGTAAAATGAAAGTTATCTTTAATGGCCACTCTTCTAGATCATTTTGCATTAATGCAGACGTCCCCTAGATATTGGACCTAAGTTATTTCTAATTTTCATCATCGACCTTCCTGGTGACATCAGTTCTCATCTCGCTATCTATACAGATGACACAAGTATTTACTGTCTTAATACTGAGCCTGATCGGTCCAACAAGGTCAGATTGGAACTGATCAAAAATTGCCTACAATCTGTTAATAACGGGGACAACTGTTGAAATTTTTGGGTACTCTGGGTACTCTGGTGTACTAGTGAGCCAGCCAAAATGAGCTGACTCATTTTATAGTTCACCAATAGAAGGGTTAACCAATCAGAAGGCTCAAAATATTCAATGCGACGTGTATAAAGGCGGTCATGTTTTTCCAGAATATTCACTGCCAGCTTTTGATAACCCGGACGAGGCTCCGTCGAAGGGCAGAGTCTCGTTCGGGAAGGTTGACTGCCCCTGAACCCGTTTATACGCGTTCGAATAGGAAATATTTTTGGCTGAGCCTACGGGCTCGGAGATGCTACGTTAATCCCGGCCTTGTGCCATATGTAACCCTCGTGGGGGAGGGGGGCTAAATATCACTGCCAGCCTTTGATATCAAAGACTGAAGAATTACGGAACAGCTGCTGGTGGTATTGGCGATATAGTCAGATTCAGTAAAATATCTGACGAGAGTATTAATCTTTAACGTTGTTTCATTGAATAGATTACGTACTGCGCTGTATTCTATATTCATAGACTACGGTGAACATGATCAACAACAACGAATGGCTTGTTAATTTTTACGCCTCTAAAACGTAACTGCTCTTTAGTAATCGTTAGAGAGAAACTTTTTTACCTTCCACCCTAACCTTCAGGAGAGTGAGTCGTTTCGCCTTCTCGAGCTAAAGTTTTCCGCTGACATGAAGTTGAATTATTATATTGAATTAATTGCTAGGTCTGCAGCTAAGAAAGTTGGTTCACTGTGACGTGATAGAAAATGTTTCTCAGCTAATTCTTTCTTTCATATTTATAAGTCTACCATTTGACCATGCTTTGAATATTGCTGTAACATATGGTCTGATGTTTGTGATCTATATTTAGAGATTCTTGATAAAATTCATAGAATCTGCAATCTTATTGGTATCTTGTTTTCAGTAACTTTCCCACTGACGCAACGTAGATTCCCCGAGCCTTTTCTATAAATACTTTCATGTTAATTGTTTTGATAACTTTCCCTTTATGGTACCTAGACTTTATGAATTTAAGCTCAGTACTAGATTTGCAGCAGGGTCTCGTCATTTTATAATTGACATGGATAGATGTAACCGTAAGTTCTATGCTAATAGTTTCTTCTCTCCCATGTCTTGCATGTAGAACTCTCTTCCGGCTTCTTGCTTTCCAGCCAAGTTTGGTTTTTCAAAAATTACCTTCAAAACCTAACTTCTTCTGTCTTCTAAATCTGTTCTTTTACTATTCCCGCTTCTTAATAATGTTTTTAATATTCTTTCACATGT